GCGCAGGCGGCGGCCAGAGTAAGGCACAGCGTGGTGATGCCCATTTTCAAGGGCACACTATCTATTTGAGATACTGTGGGTATTTTTATAAGACCTAGCTCCGGAGCTTGGAGTTTTTTAGCTACCTGTTCCTCTAGACTTTGAATGAGATTTCGACTAATGCTCAGTCTGCACTCGTCTCGCAGTTCTTGTTTACTGTCCCACACCGGGACGTGTTAGTTTTAAGCTCCGGATAGGGTCCGGGAAGCAGGTTTTTTTTTGAGACGGAGTTTCGCTCTTGTTGTCCAGGCTGGAGTGCAACGGTGCGATCTCGGCTTACCGCAACCTCTGCCTCCCGGGCTCAAGCGATTCTCTGGCCTCAGCCTCCCTAGTAGCTGGGATTACAGGCATGCGCCACCACTCCCGGCTAATTTTGTATTTTCAGTACAGACGGGGTTTCTCCATGTTGGTCAGGTTAGTCTCGAACTTCCGACCTCAGGTGATCCGCCCGCCTCGGCCTCCCCCAAGTGCTGGGATGAGCTACTGTGCCGGGCCTGTAAAATCTCTTAAAAGTGTGGTACACGGAGTGCAGTACTCCACCTGTGGCCTGACTAATATGCAGTACAATATTATCACTAAATTGCTACAGACGGTGTGCTTTTCGTTGTTGTCACACAAATGTATTTGGTTAGTTATATTTGTTAACGTCTCGTCTGACTTTCCAGTCTTTCCTCACTTTGTACAGTCATATTTGCCGAGTCAAGTAAAAGTTATAACATTTAGGACACAATGCCTGACTTACTATAATTACCATTATTATCTTATGATCTTTAAAAAACAGAATTGCCACTTAGGTCTCAGGCCCTACCTCCTTCAGCCTCCGAAATGTTAAAGTTACCTTGCACTGCATGCTTACAGTATCGCCCCTAAAAAGCCCCGCTCCTGGGGCCTCCGCGGCTGGAGCCTAGCGTTTGCCCCACCCACGCCGAGCCCGAGGCGGGGCTCCGGATGTAGCCGCTGATTGGCTGGCTGGGGCGCAGCTTGATGGCGTCGGGCTGGTAGAGCCGCAGTCCCGGCTGCGGCACCAGGGAGAAGGCGGACTGTGTAAGGGGGCCTGTGACCCCAGCGTGCCGTGGCCTCGGGGAGTGGGAAGTGGAGGCAGGAGCCCTCCTTACACTTCGCCATGAGTTTCCTGATCGACTCCAGCATCATGATTACCTCCCAGGTGAGTGACCGCCTCCCTCCCCGACACCCGTCCGCCTCCCTTTCCCGAATCGCCCTCTCAGGTCCTCCGCGGTGCGGGCTGGTCCGGGGTCTGGCGTCTCTCTCTAGCGGCCTGCACCAGTTACTCCGGGACCCAGAGCGCGAAGAGGGTGTGCGATTTGCTGCCTCCGGTTCCCTCTACCCCGGCTGTCAGGAGGCTGGCCTGCGGCCGTCCGCGGCCCCACCCGGCATCCGTCCCTGGAATTTCGGTCCACTTTTGGAAGGGGTCCGCCAGCCTCCACGCTTACAGCCGGCGCCGCCAGCTAAGGCGGCGGTCCTCAGAGCTCCTCGAAGCTCCTCGAAGCTTCCGGGCTGCGCCGCTGACCCTGGGCGGGGGAAGCCTGTGTGGTTCCGGGCACCGGGTGTGCGGCGCGCCAATCAGGGCTGGATACTGAGGACACGTCAGTGTAGGCTTTGCTGTTAGATGTCAAATCCTGCATCCAGGTGTGGAGAAATTTGCTGCTTCAGAGTGTCAATATAAGGTTATACGTATGCTTAAAAGTATAAGGTTTCATTTTTGCACTGACACCTCATCCTTTATCCTATGCTTACTTACCCACCTTTTTCGGATGTTTTTCTGACCCTCATTTCTTCTCCATTGGTCACCTTCATTTGTTTGTACAGTCAACAAACATTTATCGACCGTTATATAAAGCTCTGAGCGTACAAACTTATAAGACATTGTCTGTGCTCAATAGAAGCTTCGTCTAGTGAGCCTCTTGCTTTTACCATGTAATCCATTGTTAATTATTGTTTCTTCCTAGCATTTATCATAGCACTGGCATCATTTATGTATGTGTTTATGATTTTTTTTTTTGAAATCCTGCCTTGTTCATAGCTGTATCCCCACTTTTAAGTGCAGGCATTCAATAAATAATTGTTGGCCAACTGTTAATATTTGTGAAGCTCAGACTACCTATTTACCTTTTTCCCCTCGTCTTTCCAATAATTTGAAGATTTTTTTTTTTTTTGGTTGTTTTTACTTGTTCTTTCTCTCAAACGGCAAGTAACAGAAACAGTTACCTTTTGGAGCTTAAAGTGAACTAAATTTTTGTTCTTTGATTCAATTTTTGTATTGCTTCATCCTAATACTCGTCTCCGTATAGCGGAGCATTGTCCTTTTCTGTTCAAAAACTTTTACAATATTTAAGAAGATAAGAAAGAAGGAAAAGCCATCCATGATCCTACCACTCTAATGCAATCTTTTAAAAAAAAATTTTTTTTTAATTTACCACCTTTCTATAGTTTTCATAATTGTTTTTATTGACTGCGTACTATTCAAATGTATTGTTAAAAAACCTGGACATGTAATTCTTCTGCTTAAAACCTTTCTAAGACTACCCAGTGCCCTTGGTGACAACTCAGGGTTATTTTTAACCCTAGTACCAATTTAAGAAAAATAGCAATATTTAATTAGCTTTTCTTTTCACTTAGAATAAAGATAAGAATGTCAGTAGAAAATTGGCTTTGCATTGCAGCCTCTAAGATTTTTAGCGTGGACATAATTGATACGTTGAACCAAGGAAGTGGCTTTCTAATTTTGTATGCCTTGTAATCATAGACTTTTACTTCACACATGTATCCATATGCAGTAATTAATTGTTAAACTAATGTGGAAGAAAGACCCAAAGATTCCTTTGCATGGAATGTTCTCTGTTCAAATATTTATGTGGCTACTTTATCATCATTTCGGCATTAGTAAAAATGTCACTTTAGGAAGGTTTTACCTGACACCCTGCCCACAGCCAAAGTGGCTTTCCATTCCGGCTGCCTTCTTCCTCATTTCCATGTTTTATTTTCTTCTTGGCATTTATTACTATAGTTCATTTGTATGTTCATGTGTTTGTTGTCTGTCCATGAAGTCCAAGACACTGTCTTTCTTGTTCTCTCCTGTATTCACCAGCATCTAAATCAGTTGTGGGCACACAGTAGCATTGTAGTGAATATTTATTTAATAAAAAGCACTTCTCTAGAGAGGTGCGGTTACCTTGGAAACACCACCATTGCCCCCTGCGCCCCTCCCCACTCATTTTTTCTGTGTTGTATTAACTGAAAGGTTTATTTGAAATGAAATCTGAAATCAGAGGTCACATATTGACTCTTGCTCACTGCACCACAGGATGAAGTTCACACTCCTTTACGTGGCTTTTCAGGTCCATTATTGATGGGACCCTCGCCCTTATCAGGTCCCTTATTGATGGGACCCTGGCTCTTCTCTCTTCAGCTGTGGCTTTCACCATTTTATTCTTTAGACTTCCTGAACTTCTTTTAGTTCCCTAACCTGGCCATGCTGTGGTGCCTCCAGATTTCCACACAGTGTGTTTTCTTTTTCTGGGCCTTTTCCTTATATCCCTTTCAGCCTTCAGATCTCAACTTGAACATCCAAGAAGCTTCTCCTAGACTGGACTAGATGTCCCTATACATACTGCCATAGTACCCTTCACCTACTTCCCCTGTAACAACGCTACCACATTGTTTTGTAATTACTTGTTTATCTCCTCCATAGATTATAAACTCCTTGAGAGTAGCATTCATGCTCTCTTGTTTGCCATTCTATCCCTTGGACCTGTCACGTATTAGGCACTAATAAATATTTGTTAAATGATTAAAAGGGTGAACAAATGATCCAAGAAAGGTGTCTTTTATACTTAATTCTTTAATAACTATCCTGCTGATGGCCATCTTTTTTTTTTTTAAACAGTAGCTAATTTTCAACCCAGAAGTCACCTTTATAAAAGCAACTCTTATCTAACTCATGTTTTGAGCCCTCTGTACAGTCATTAAGACTTATCAGTTCCAGAGTATACTCTTAAGTCCTAAGGTCAAGATTTTACTCTGTACAATTCTGAAAGTATTAAGTCTCGTTTATAATAAGAAGCTATGTGCCTTCCATTTTATTTGCAAAGCTATTTGAAATTGCATTTTGCTTCTGCATTCTTTTTGGATCCTCTATAATCTTGCCAGAATTTGTGTTTATCTTGGATGTAAATGAATTCTCCAGCTACTTTTGTGTTTGTGCGTAGTTTAAAAGTCTTTTTTTTTTTTTTCAACTTTAATTTTATTGTAGATTTGGTACTTGTGGTGGGTATATTGTGGGAGCTGAGGTTTGGGATACAAATGATCCGGTCACCCAGGTACCAGGTACATAGTACTCAATAATTGGTTTTTCAGTCCTTCCCCTTTCTCCCCTCCCCTGTCCCCAAGTAGTCTCCAGTTTCGTTTTTTGCCATCTTTATGTTGGTGAGTACCCAATATTTAGCTCCCACTTAGAAGTGATAACATGGGGTACTTGGTTTTCTGTTCTTGCGTTAATTTGCTTAGGATGATGGCCTCTAGCTGCCTCTATGTTGCTGCAAAAGACATAATTTTATTCTGAAAGTCTTTTTACACTTTCTTTGTCAATGTGAAAGGAGGCCACAATAAAATATTAAAGGTATATATCTGTTTCTCTTTTCTTCCATTCCCCTCCCCACCATATAAACTTAAAATTTTTGCTTGTTTTCTCTTACTTGTCTAAAGTTCCATTTCACAGTAATCTTGGTGATTTTTTTTTTAATCATCCATTCCACTATACATACTACTCTCATTCCTAACTGCCCAACTTCTCTATCTTCAGTTGTGGCTTCGTAAGTCATATGAATATGGTCTCTAAACTCTGAATTTACATCTGTCTTTATAGAGTTACCATTGGTAACTCTTTATAATAGCCAAAGGATATCCTGGACGTTTTCTCCTAATCTGTTTGACCCTTTCCTTTTCTACTTAATCTAGATGCTCGGATCCAACTTACTTTCTTACACCTGCTTGTTCGTTTACCTTCATATATATATACACATATGTATATATAAGTCCATACTTGGATCATTGTTATAGTTTGTCTACCACTAATACAGAGGCCTGAAAGCTACTGTAGAAAATCACACAGCTGTGTAGTTTGCCAACGCCATGAGTTTAACCCTCAGCTCACTGAATTATTCCTTTTCTTGACCTTAATCAGCTACTTGTTTTATTCCCCTCAAAGTTTGTCTGAATCTTTGTCAAAGCTCCCTTTTCTATACTCACCTGTCTTACTCTTAGCAGATAACCTTGCCTCATACTTACTCAACAAAAGTGAAGCCAAAAGGTATGATCTCCTACTGTGAATACTTTCTGCATAATCTAAAAGGTTATCTGTGTTCACAACCATTCTCACCTCCTTTCCTCCCATTTCAGAAAACGGGGTTCCCTTACTCCGGTTTAAGGCCATTCTCCTTACCTTTGATCTTAGAGTAGCTTATTTTGAAGTGGTTAAAAGCGCAGATTTTCTAAACAGCCAGACTCAATAAGAGCTGAAAACATATTATTTTTTAAAAAAGCACAGATTTTGGAGTCAAACAGGCTTGAGTTCAATCTTGATTCTGATACTTACTATAAATTGATTAACTTCTCTAAACCTCATCTTCCTCTGTGAAAATAGGACAATCAAACTTACCTTACTGGGTTTTTAATGATTTTTATAAGATTATAATGCTAAGTACTACTTAGAGAGCCTGGAATATAGTAAATGCTCAATAAAAGTTACCTAATGATAATAATAAACTAATAGTATCAGTTCATCCTCTAGCATTCCATCATCCTTCTCATCTTTTTCTCCTTACTTGACTGCTTTCTTTCCCCTTGGCCAATAAACTGTCCCTTTATTCCATATTCTTCTGTAGCCTATTATCTAGTGTTCTCTTTTTTTCTCATTCCTGGCCCTCCCTGGAGTAATTTGCATTTACTTTCCCCACTGGTTTAGCTCCCATTCATTCTGACCTGCTACACTCTGGTTCCTGCCCCTACCTCACCATTCAAACTGTGTTCCTTATCCTCTAGTGTTTTCTTCTTGGCACATTGCTCTCCTTACTCTAGATACTGTTCCCAGGTGATCTTGTGTACTTCGGTGGTTTCAACTCATAAGTATATCTTAGACCTGTCTTCACAATCTGTCTTTTATTCAGGTGCTTGCTGGATATCTTGACCCATCTTGCTGGCTGTCCCTCAGGCCCTTAGTGTGTTCAAAATGAGCTCATCATTTTCCCCATCCTCTGCCCCCTTTCCTAAACCTCTTCTTTCTCCAATATTCTTTATATAAATTGGGTAGCTTCACTATTCATCTTGTATTCCAAATTATCATCCTTGACTTCTCCCTGCTGATTTTACCTTCTAAGTAGTTCTCAAATCTGTCGTCTCCTCTTCTGTCACCAAATGTCTTAATTCAGGGCTTTCTCATCTTTCATCTGAACTCCCATAATACATTTCTATGATGTTTCTCTTCCTACAATGTTATTTCCTTCAAATGTGTCTTCCACACAGCCACCATACTGCTCTCTATAATATACAACAAATCAGACCATGCCATTTCCCTGCTTAAATAACCCTTACCACCTACAGACTATAATCTTAGGGTGGCCTTCAAAGCTCTCAGTGGTTGGACATCCACTCCTCCTGTCTAGCCTCATTTTTAACCTCTTCCTTCTTTGAATTTCATCTTCTAGCATCTCCAAACCATGTGTAGTTCCTGGCACATACCACGCTTTTCACTCTGCACGTTTACTCATGCCCTTTGCTATCTGGAAAGCCCTGTCCTCCTACCCCTACCACCTGTTTTTACCCTACTTGATTCTTTTTTTGTTCATTTGTTTTGTTTTGAGACAGGGCTTCTCTCCGTCACCCAAGCTGGAATGCAGTGACGTGCTCACGGCTCACTGTAGCCTCCACCTGCCAGACTCAAGTGGCCCTTCCACCTCAGCCTCCCCATAAGCTGGAACTACAGGCACACACCACCACACCTAGCTAATTTTTGTATTTTTTGTAGAGATAGGGTTTCACCATGTTACCCAAGCTGTTCTCGAACTCCTGGGCTCAAGCGATCCACCCACCTTGGCCTCCCAAAGTGCTGGGATTACAGGCATGAGCCACTGTGTCCAGCCTCCCTACTTGATTCTTATTCATCCTTTGAGAGGGTGGTTTTTAATATGTTAGGGGTGGTGGAAACCGTTGAGTGTGTGATGAATACCTTCAACCACTCTAGAAAAATGCACATAATCCCAAAATTTGCACACAATATCAAGTTGTAACTGCAAATTAAAACTTCCTTCAACTCAAGCATTATCTTCTCCAGAAAATCTGTCCTAAGCCCTTACAGATTGGTTTGGTCTCCCTCTTTCATATTGTTTTACAATATCATGTATGTATTTCTATCATTGCACATCCATATTATGTTATAGTTATTTATGTAGTGTCTTCACTATGTTGTGAGCTTGTAGAGAGTAGTAACCATCCTACTTACCTTTGTATCCTCAGCACCTAGCATAGCACATCGGAGTTATTACAGAAAATTTAAGATTGAATGCTGAAGGATAAACCGTCTTTTATGTAGACCACTTAGCCATTCAGCAAGCACTTATGGAGAGTCTGCTATATACCAGGCTTTGTGCTGGATGCCAAGGATACAAAGATTACAAGACAAACATGGTTTTTGTCCTCATAGAGCTTATAATCTAATGTCAAAAAATATTTAAATCAGGCATTACAAAACCGTATGGTAAGCACTTTGATGAGGGAAGTACGATGTAGAATAAGATTATATAAAAAGAGCAATTTATCTGTGTTTGGGAGGGCAGCGAGGGCCTTCCAGAGGGAGTAAATAGCATAACTGGGAGAGGGTTGGAGAGAAGTTCCTGTCAGAGGACATTTACAGAGGTCTCGATGTGAAAGAATATGGGTCTAAAGAACCAAAGGAAGTTCCAGGGGGCTGAACACATGAGTTTGCTAGGCAGCAGGGGCATGATAAGAAGCTAAAGTAGTCTGTGCTAAACTACTGAGTTTACACTTGCTCAGTAAAGTAGTCCCTAGGAAGACATAAAATCATTTCTTCATAAAGGTCCTAGCCAGTTTAAGAAGAAAAGATGAGTCGTGTCAGTGCATGTCTATGTATAGAAAGTTCTATTTACTACAGACCAGCTTTGTCAGCTGTCATGTGGCTGCGGTCTCTGCCAGTTTGAAACAAAACTGACAAAAGAGGGATCCTGCAATCTCTCGGCTTTACACTGAGATGAAAACCACTTTATGTAGATTAGGCAGGATGGCGGAGAAGCTAAGAAAACTCTCTGAAGGAAACAGATATAAAACACATTAGGCTTTCTACTGCTCGTCTACTTTTGGTCTCAACTCTTTTCCCGTGAAGTTTTTATTTTTTTTTTATTTTTTTTTATTTTTATTTTATTTATTTTTTTTTTTGAGACGGAGTCTTGCTCTGTCACCCAGGCTGGAGTGCAGTGGCTGGATCTCAGCTCACTGCAAGCTCCGCCTCCCGGGTTCACGCCATTCTCCTGCCTCAGCCTCCCGAGTAGCTGGGATTACAGGCGCCCGCCACCTCGCCCGGCTAGTTTTTTTGTATTTTTTAGTAGAGACGGGGTTTCACCGTGTTAGCCAGGATGGTCTCGATCTCCTGACCTCGTGATCCGCCCGTCTCGGCCTCCCAAAGTGCTGGGATTACAGGCTTGAGCCACCGCGCCCGGCCGAAGTTTTTATTTTTTAAATTGATTTATTTTTATTTATTTTTTGAGACAGGGTCTCACTCTGTTGCGCAGGCTGGAGCATAGTGGTGCAGTCATGGCTCACTGCAGCCTCAACTTCCTAGGCTCAGGTGATCTTCCTACCTTTGCCTCCCAGGTGACTGAGACTACAGGCACACCCCGCCACCCCCAGCTCATTTTTATGTGTGTGTGTTTTTTTGTAGAAACGGGTTTTCACCATGTTGGCCAGGCTGGTATTTTTTTTTAAATACTTGCAGTCAGGGATCATCCGTAAGAAGCAAATCTCACTCTGACTCCTTTTCTTTTTTTTTTTTTTTTTTTTGAGACCGAATCTCACTCTATCACCCAGGCTGTAATGCAGTGGCACGATACTGGCTCTCTGCAACCTCCGCCTCCCAGATTCAAGCTATTCTCATGCCTCAGCCTCCAGGAGCAGCTGGGATTACAGGTGTCCACACTCAGCTAATTTTTGTGTTTTCAGTAGAGACGGGGCTTCGCCATGTTGGCCAAGACTGGTCTTAAACTCCTGGCCTCAGGTAATCTGCCCACCTTGTCCTCCCAAAATGCTGGGATTACAAGTGTGAGCCACCACACCTGGCCGCTGATTCCTTTTCTATTTGCGAACTTCTCTGGCTCATGTAATTATTATCATAAGATTATGGGAAAATATGTACTTCCATTTTTGTCTTGAAGCATACTCTGTAACATGTATAACTTCAAACATCCAAGAACATTTAAACATTTATTTCCAATGTCATGAGCTTTAATAAGTAGGTCTTATAAGAGCGGATCTTATCTTTAATCCCTGAAATAAGTTAACCGTCTAGTTAGCAGACCTGTTTTATAGAAATGTTTCTATAAAACGTTTCTCAAAAAATATATATATTGACATTCTATCTTCTTTCCCTTCCAGATACTATTTTTTGGATTTGGGTGGCTTTTCTTCATGCGCCAATTGTTTAAAGACTATGAGGTGAGAAGAAATAATTTTGTCATACTTAACACTGTATGAATTTAGATTGACAAGAAAAATGTCTCCATTAAAGAAACATTATGTTCATTTCCAAGATAGGAAGCTGTTACCAAATAAGTACTATATAACTATTAGATTGGAGAATATAATTAGGCTTAATTGATTTAAAAGGGGGGAAAAAAGGCAAGCCAAATGTAGCCCAGAAGTTAGGAGAAAGGAATGTCATGCCTTAGTCATATCAGGATATGCACCAATAGCAAATAGTTATTCTGCAGGAGAGAATTTAATTCATAATGTCTCACAAATGTTCCCTTTCATTTGTCTATCTGGCCCTGAATTGCCAGTCTTATATTCTAAGTTAATACCAAAATCTCAAGGCTATCAGGGGAACCAGCACCCAATATTTCAACATAGGTTCTTTCTGTTTTCCCTAAGTGTCGACCGGTCTCAGAAATAAAGAGTACAAAGAGAAAAATTTTACAGCTAGGGCTCTGGGGGTACCATCACATATTGGTAGGACTGTGATGGCGACCCTGAGCCACAAAACCAGCAAGTTTTTATTAGGGATTTCAAAAGCAGAGGGGGTGTATGAATAGGAAGTGGGTCACAGAGGTCAGTGCTTCAGATGCAATAAAAGATCACAAGGCAGAGGCAAAAATTAGAATTACTGATGAGGATCTGTGTCCCGCTGTGCACGCATTGTCTTGATAAACATCTTAACAGGAAACAGGGTTCAAGACCTGACAACTAGTCTGACTAGAATTTACCAGGCTGGAATTTCCCAATCCTAGTAAGCCTGAGGGCACTGCAGGAGACCAAGGCGTATTTCAGTCCTATCTCAACCGCATAAGACAGACTTCCTAGAGTGGCCCTTCATAAACCTCCCCCTAGGTGTGCATTCCTTCCCCAAGGTTATTCCTTGATGGGAAAAGAATTCAGCGATATTTCTCCTACCTGCTTTCTGCAAGAAGAAAAATATGGCTGTATTCTGCCTGACCCTGCAGGCAGTCAGACCTTATGGTTATCTTCCCTTGTTCCCTGAAAATCGCTGTTCTGTTCTTTTTCAGGGTGCACTAATTTCGTATTGTTCAAGCATACATGCTTTACAAACAATTTGTACAGTTAACGCAATCATCACAGGGTCCTGAGGTGACATACATCCTCAGTTTACAAAGATGACGGAATTAAGAGATTAAGACAGGCGTAAGAAATTATAAAAGTATTAATTTGGAGAACTAATAAATGTCCATGAAATCTTCACAATTTATATTCAGAGATTGCAGTAAAGACAGGTGTAAGAAATTATAAAAGTCCTAATTTGGGGAACTAATAAATGCCCATGAAATCTTCACAATTTATGTTCTGCCACAGCTTCAGCCGGTTCCTCCATTCGGGGTCCCTGACTTCCCGCAACACAAAGCTGATGTTTTTATCTTAAGCTTTGGATTCAGAAGATCACCATCCTAGACTGGATATTTCCTAGTTAGTTCTCCTAATTAGTAATAAGATCAGGAGTTATAGTCTACATTGGGTCATTTCTAGGATGTTCTCCATTAAACTTTCTCGGGGAGTTTATTGTCTGAAAGAGCCTGGAATTCTGGAGATTTTCTTCTGCCCAATACTTTAAGGCCTCCCAAGGGAGGTTCCAGAACTGATCCAGGATCTGCAGAGTGTTGAAGAACCCCTTTAAACATTAACCATTATATACGAGTGTGTCAGTTTTTTGTCAGTGTGCATCAGGAATTCTAAGTGCTACCTATGACCCTGTCACTTCATCTTCTTGTCCTCAAAATTCTTCATCCACAAGAGGATGCTGGTAATAGTGACTCAGGATTCAGAAGTGCCACCTACTTTGGTCTTTTTCTTTAGCTCCAGGCAAGTTGCTGTTGTGGCCCTACTTCCAGTGACTTCAGAATTTCCTCAAAATAAGTTTTCTGACTTGTAACCAGAAGGAGGTTATCAGTTCAGTTTTTAAACACGGAAATAACTTCTAGTTTCTATTTGGCTTTTAACAGATACGTCAGTATGTTGTACAGGTGATCTTCTCTGTGACATTTGCATTTTCTTGCACCATGTTTGAGCTCATCATCTTTGAAATCTTAGGAGTATTGAATAGCAGGTGAGTAAGAGTACTGAATAACTCCTCTTGAAGAGTTCTGTGCTACATTCTTTACGGTGGAAAAGCTATCTGGATCTCATAACTGAGATAAAAAAGAAACACTGTGTTAATAATTTAGTCTCAGTAACTACAATGATCACAGCAGATATGGGTCACAGCCACCTAGTAGCTGGTTTGACAAAGATTATGAGAAACCAGGAAAAAAAAGATCTGACCATTAACTCTGAAAAACTCATTGGAGTGAGGCTGTGAAGCCGCAGACTAGGCTTCACTCCTAGAAGCTTTATTTTTCCGGGACTGCTCGCTGACTGAATCCCAGTAACAGCCCTTCACATTGTTCTGCTGATTGAAAATCTCTACCTGAAAAGGTTAGAATTCCTCAGAGATACTTAACGATCTCTCTGAAGACTGAGCTCCAGTTCTTACTTAACTTAGTTACTTTTATTGATTTTACAGTCATGGTCAAGTTTGGTTGAATTTAAAGTGTTTCTTAAAACACTTTTTAAAAGTAACTCTTTACTCCCTTCCGAATAATAGACCTGTTAGTTTATTAGACCGTCTATCCGAAATATTTCTTGCTTGTTAATCTGCAAGCTTGAGAATTTTTTTGGTGGCATTTATATGTAGGGTTCAACTATGCTATGCAGACTTTGTTGTACTTTTTTATCACTACCTGGAAAAACCTTTAAGAGTAAAGTAGTCTTTCACTCTAAAGTTAGGACTCAGCACCAAGGTAAGTTCATTATAGACCCCTGACACTTGAGACTTGTAGAGAGACTGTACTCTCAAATCCTTTGATAATCAGAGTTGAAAACAAAATTTGAATTAAAAAGAAAAACTTACTGTACAAATGGTTAATCACAAAACATTGAAAGGTTAAATGTTAGACACAGTGGCTTACGCCTATAATCCCAGCACAGTGGCTTACGCCTATAATCCCAGCACTTTGGAAGGCTGAGGCAGGAGTATCGCTTAAGTGCAGAGGTTCAAGGCCAGCCTGGGCAACAAAGTGAGACCCTGTCTCTACAAAAAAATTTTAAAAAATTAGCAGAGTGTAGTAGTACACACCTATAGTCCCAGCTACACTAGACGCTGAAGCAGGAGGATCCCTTGAGCCCAGGAGTTTGAGAATGTGCAGCGAGCTGTGATCACTGGATAAGACAGTGAGACCCCATCTCTTAAAAAAAAAGAGTGAGACAGAGAGAATCAGAGTTGATAATAATGGTCTCTTGATAGAACAATGAATAACATGTATTATGGTAAAATAGAAGTATGTTCTGATTCTCCTACTTTTAAACTTTAATAATCCAAACCTTTTTTTGGATGAGCTAGATATGGATCCTATGACTATACAGAATAGACAAGTATTATTTTACATAATGGTTATTAAATTTTATTATCACCACCTGCATCTTTCACTGCTATTTAAGCAGGGGTTGGCAGACTTTCTTCTGTAAAGGGACAGATAGTAAATATTTTAGGCTTCTGTGGACCAGAAGGCTTCTATTGCAACTACTCAGCCCTGCTGTTGTAGAGCAAAAGTAGTCATAGGCAATATATAAACAAACGAGCATGACCATGCTGTAATAAAACTTAATTTGTAAAAGCAGGTGGCTGCCAGGCCATAGTTTGCCAACTACTCATCTAAATATAGATACAGAGGATTCAGTTATTCTAAAGCTATAGTTTTGTTTTTGGTAGATGATGTCCCCCAACTTTTAACTTATAGTTAATAACCCATATAGTAAGAAACATCAGTCATACTGTGGTATATATTTCTTAAATTTCTTAGTTAGTTAAAGAGGATAAGAAGTAGCATTGCTGAAATCTGGTTCTTCTTTGTGTGTTATATAGAGGATTGGGTTTGTTCAGTCTGAGACATGTCTTCAGTTATACCTGTTTTTTCATGCTAGTGTTTCACCCAATTATGGAACACAAACGTGAACCTTGATGATGTAGTATAACTGTCCATTGACTGGACTCAGAATCATTTTGAAAAGACAATCTTGGCCAGAATATTCCTTTGACTCTCCTTTGAGCAGAGATTGTATGACTTCCTATCCAAATATGTAATCTTGTTGGGATCCTTAATTTTTTCAAGAGAATATCACTTTACTCTCAGCTCAAAAGATTAGTTAAAACATGTGCTTCACTTTTAATAGGCAGTCCGTACTGCCAATTAAAGTTGCACTTGTTATTTCAAACCCACTGCCTCCCAGAATCTTTCAGAAGCTCAGCTGAAATACTATGTAGAATTGCCTGGAGTATGTCCAGCTTGTTTCCTTCTCTAAATGCTCTAAAGTAGGTTAACCTAGAGGAGCGAAAAGCTGTCAACGTATCTAGTCTAAATGGTATTCATTCCCTATAGCGTAGCTTTTACTGAATGGCTCTTTGTTTTGTGATGCCTGCCATCTGTACTAAGAAAGGAACAGTTAGAAACAGCCCTCTGAAACTGATATTTCTCTTGAAAGGATGTTGTTGAAGACACTGTTAATTGCCTTTGCATTTTCTTCTTTATGAAATCTTTGAAGAAATTTCATTGTAATCTTGGTAATAATTCAGTAACAATAAATGATAATTATGCTTCTTTTGAGAAATTAATTTGTTATTTTCTTGCAGACACAATGATTTTATCTAACTGATCAAATTTTTTATTTCACATTGACCATTAGAAAACTTAAAGCTAAATTTATGACCTACCCATAGCAACTTTCTAGAATTCTATTTTATAATAGCCACCAGGCTTGGCCCAATATTTTACCTATCTGTTACCATTGTTGTTCATATTTCCTTATAGTTCATTTCATCATCCTGTATTTTATTTATCTTTGTAAGCCATTTAACCACTTATGCCTTTTTTGAAACAAGGCCTAAGTAAATTTAAAATCAGTAAATACAAAGGACACTATCAAGAAAGTGAACAAACATTCCAAGAACAAGAAAAAATTTTTATAAATTGCCTGTCTGATAATGAACTGGAACTTGTATCTAAAATACACAAAGAATTCTTACAGTTTAATAATATAATACAATTTAAAAATGAATAAAGGATCTGAATAGGCATTTCTCCAAAGATGATATAGAAATGGCCAGTAAGCACATATAAATAGATGCCCAGTACCATGAACCATCAAGGAAATGCAAATCAAAACCACAGTGAGATACCACTTCACACACACTAAAATGGCTATAACAAAAAAAAAAAGACAATAACAAGTGTTGGTGAGGCTGAGGAGAAATTGGAACTCTCATATACTCCTGAGGAAAATGTAAAATGATGCAGCCACATTGGGAAACAGTGGGAGTACCTCAAAAGATTAAATATAGATTTATCATATGACCCAACAATTCCACTCCATTTTTACCTAAAGAGAAATGAAAACGTACGTCCACACCAAAATGTATATATACACATTCATAGCATCTCTATTTATAATAGCCAAAAACCCAATGTCTTCAATTAATAAATCCAGAAACAAAATATAATATATCCATATAATGGGATGAATATTGTTTAGCCATAAAAGGAATTATTGATAGATACTACAACATATCAATTATTGATAGATACTTGCAAACATTATGGTAAGTAAAAGAAGCCAGTCATAAAAGATTATGTACTGGTGGTTTCTTAGAAACAGAAAGTATATTGGTGGTTTCCTAGAGCTGAGGAGGTTAGGGAGAAAAGGAGTGACTGCTAATGGGTACAGGATTTCTTTATGGCCTAATGAAAATGTTCTAAAATTGATTGAGGTGATGGTTGCACAACTCTGAGTATATGAAAACCATTGAATTGTACACTTTAAATGGGTAAATTATATCTCATTAAAACTGTTATAAAAAGTGCTAACAAAAAGTTTTAACAAAATACATCTTATAAATTAATAAAAGTAATTCATGCAAATCAGGTGTTTATATCAAGAGTACAAAAGAAATATTTTTGAGCCTTTATAGCATTTATTACTGTTAACATTTATTTTCCTTTAATTCTTACATTGGAATAAGATTCCTACGGGAGAATAAAACAATAGTCATTCTACTAGCAATGTCTTATGTTGATACATGTTAGTGGTATATGTTACCCATGAATATATCAAAAACATAAACATTCTTATTTTAATATATGAAATTCTTCAGAGGTTAAGATGGTCATATATACCTTTCAGAAATTTATGTTTTTTAATCTCTACAAATGAGTAGATTTTAAGAGCCTAGTAGGCTGATTAGATAGGATATATTCAATATAGAGTCCAAAGAGCAAAAGACCCTTTGGAAGACTAAAGAGAAAGAAAGTTGCTGCCCTCTCTCCCTCCTAGTGACAGCCTTTGACATTTATTTCAGCTCACGTTATTTTCACTGGAAAATGAACCTGTGTGTAATTCTGCTGATCCTGGTTTTCATGGTGCCTTTTTACATTGGCTATTTTATTGTGAGCAACATCCGACTATGTAAGTATTTTGCCCTCTCAGTCAGCACATAGATTGAGATGAGTATTTGAGGGGACTTAGATTGTGAATAGCTTCATTTCTACATTAACTTTCAGTAGCTACCACTATTTGAGGACACCTCACACACAACATCTTAAATATAAAATAAATATTGAATGAATTGGCACAAAGTAAATATTGAGTGAATGATTAGGTTATTTGTTCTGCCACAGCTTTATTTTTCTACCTATTAATAATGTTTCATTTAATTCATCCCACATGTTAAATTCAGCTAAATTTCTCTTACGATGGTAAGGATGCTTTCACTAAAAATTATACTGTTCATCACTCATTTGCCAAGTGAATTAGCAGCCAAATATTAATTAGCATTATCTTATATTTTTAAATAGAGCAAGCTCTTTAACCTATATCTGTTTTTCCTAACAGTTTTGTCTCCTCTGTCTCAGTGCATAAACAACGACTGCTTTTTTCCTGTCTCTTATGGCTGACTTTTATGTATTTCTTCTGGAAACTAGGAGATCCCTTTCCCATTCTCAGCCCAAAACATGGTGAGTATATATGGGAGGGCAGAAGAAGGGAGGGAGAAGCTTTGTTTAATTTTCTGATTTCAAAAACATTTAATTAAATTTCTTGGGGAAAAATTTATTTGGGGAAATAATTCATTAATTCATAGGTTCTTGGGATTGGGAAAAAAAAATTTCTGATTTTGAGGAGGATAGCAAGCTATTTCTCTGAAAAATGTCTGATTTTGAACTACATTTTCTCCTTTATTCTAAGAGATAACCAATGCTGGTTTTGGAACTCACTTCTATCATTCTAAAGTAGGAATTTTTGACCTTCCTTTACTGAATATACTTACTTAAAGGGTATAAGGAAAGAGAACGGTGTCTAACTCATATTGTATATAGAACTACAGGAATATATTTGTATGTGTATTTGGAGGTAAGGTATCAATGAACTTTTATCAGATTTCCAAAGGGGTCTGTGACCCAAAAGGTAAATGGCCACTGTTTAAGGGATGATAAAGATACATTAGGGAAGCATACGTATTTGGGGAAAGGTGACATAAAACGCCCACAATTAATAGGTAAAGAAAAGCTTTCCAAGAATCGGTGTCTCCCCTCTAACAAAAAAAAGTTTATTTTAAAACGAGATTTGGCAGAGCCCTAGTTTTTAAGTTAAAATCAATGAACAAAAGTACCTCAGCTAATAAGTCCTTCCAGAACTATTTCAGAAGTATGTATGAATCTATCTTAAAAAGATTAGAGAGCCCATCTGTAATAAATATATTGCAGCTTTCATGCTAGAACCTTTTCAAAAATATATTTATACCTGTTCATTCACCATCCTGCCATATTATCAGGGTTCTTATTGCAGAAAACAGAATCTACTGTAACTAATTTAAAGCAGAAAGTGATTAATTATACAGTGTCAGGCAATTTATAAACTTTCTAGGAAAGCAGGAATGCAAAGCTTAATTGCTGTATGATGAAGAGAAATACCCTACTATGCCACAATACTAAACTAGAAAACCTTGCTGAAGTCATCACATGCCACTCAGGGTCTATGACATCAGGGACCTCAGTCCCAGCTGTTTGAGCTCCTAAGTGCTATCACCACCCCTACATTGTTCATTTCTGCGTCTGAGGCCTCACATGGGCCTGGTTTTTTGGTGAAACCTAGGTAACATTTAGAACCTTAGCCTCAAGGAAGTCTGAGAAGGAGCGTTTGGCTTTCTAAACTCTGTAGTACCAAAACAAATGCTAGAAAAGGATATTGGAATTAATGTTGAATGAGCCAGTGTCTATTATAGAATCTGCCGTACCTCCCACACACCCTTCCATCTATACTCATTGCCTATAGCAGGAATTTCGGGAGAGAGAGGTTATGAGACTCTCCTGCAGTAAGGTCAGGGGAGATAGGCAGTTTTGAAAAGCATATGCAGTACCAAATAAATAGTTGTGTATTTTTAAAATAATAATAACTGTTTCAAGATTTCAAATAATGTTAAAGGCCAGAAAACTTAACATAACACCAGCCTACCAAAAACATTCAAACTCTTAGGTGGCATATGAGACCTTTCATGGCCTGGCTACTGCTCTCTATACATGTTGCATTCTCCAGTCCTATGAAGTTATTTCAAGTTTATTTATTTATTTTCTTTTTGAGACAGGTCTCACTCTTATTCAGGCCCGAGTGCAGTGGCATGATCTTGGCTCACTGCAACCTCTGTCTCCCAGGCTCAAGTGATCCGCCCACCTCAGCCTCCTGAGTAACGGGGACTACGGGCGAATGCCACCACACCCGGCTGTTTTGTGTTTTTTCGTAGAGATGGGGTTTCTCCACGTTGCTCAGGATGGACTTGAACTCCTGAGCTCAGGGGATCGACCCACCGTGGCCTCCCAAAATGCTCACAAGTGTGAGCCACCACACCCAGCCTCAAGTTTCTAGAGCTGTTCTATCAGCCTGGACAATCCTTCACCAACCCTGTCTACCTAGAAAATGCCTATTTATCCTTTCTAGATTCAGCTCTTGTCAATTCCTTTAGGAAGATTTTCCTGGCCAGCATTAGGAGATATTAATTGCTCCCAACTCAAGGTATCTATATCATCTATAAAACTTACAATTTCATGTTTCCTTTTCCAACTTCCTCATCAACCTGTGGGCTCCCTGAGATCAGAAAACTACATGTTATTTGTCTTTGTATCCCTAGTGCCTAGTGTGGAACTTAACACATAATTAGTGTTTTAATATGTGTTCTTTGAATCAGTGAATGGAAGAAAATTGAGTCTCTCCAATGTGGTAAATTAGTTTACTACTTTAACACTCTGGATAGGAATTTAGGAAACGCTAATGTGATCAGCATGCCTATGTCAATGGTCAACGAAAGGAAAGACTTGCATTAAAGAGTCCTGGTAGTATAGTTCTCATATAAACCTGTTTCAAAGAAACCCACAGACAGACACATTTATCTGTGATGGTAGAAGTCAGAGAGAAGAGTTACAAAAGGCCCCCAGGGCTGCTGACAGGGCAAACACAGGCTCACATGCAATACAAAGACCTGACTCTGACACCTTTCTCCTGTGTGCATTCAGCTCACATGACCAGTGCAGCCAGTACACACCAAAGGGAAGATGAAGGCCATTGTATCCATTGTCCTTTCATCCACCCCTTTTTCTAAATTCTGTGGGATGACCCTGAAAAGGACACTGAGAGAGAAAGCTAGGGAGACAGTTTCAGCTTTCTTCTTTCCATCGTACTCCAATAGGCATTACAGTTTTATGACTGAATATTCAGGTATCTTAATTTACTTAACCCTCTAAGATAAGTAAGGAGGAAGAAAAGTTTAGATGGTAGCCAAGAAGCAACCAGCCTTACACTACCTTCCTAGAGCTTTCCCAGGACTGTCCCAACAACCACTGTAGTTGTTTATTGCTGTGGAGACCACCCAAAAAATGGGCTGGGCAGGTTGGCTCACCCCTATAATCCCAGCACTTTGGGAGGGCAAGGCAGGGAGATCACTTGAGGCCAGGAGTTAGAGACCAGCCTGGCCAACATGGCAAAACCCCGTCCCTACTAAAAATACAAAAATTAGCCAGGCATGGTGACGCATGCCTGTAATCCCAGCTACTCCCCGGAGGCTGGAGACACAAGAATTGCTTGAACCCAGGAGGCTGAGGTTGCAGTGAGCTGAGATCATGCCACTGCCCTGCAGCCTGGGCAACAGAACGAGACTCAAAAAAAAAATCCATAAAAGTACTTCTTGTGTGGTGCCTGAACCTTGGAATGTCTTTAGTGGGAAAGAGTCAGAGAGATTCAAAAAACGAGACTCAAAAAAAAAATCCATAAAAGTACTTCTTGTGTGGTGCCTGAACCTTGGAATGTCTTTAGTGGGAAAGAGTCAGAGAGATTCAAAAAACGAGACTCAAAAAAAAAATCCATAAAAGTACTTCTTGTGTGGTGCCTGAACCTTGGAATGTCTTTAGTGGGAAAGAGTCAGAGAGATTACAAAAGACTGTAAGGAATCTGTGTGAGCAGGTGGCAAAGGTGAAATGGTCTTCTGCTAGTCTCCTTATTCATCTGACTTTCCATGTATTAACTGGTAAATGGGGATAATGATGACTGACTCCTACTTCATAGAAATGCTGAGATTAAGTAAATAGTATCTACAAAGTACTTTAAATCATAAAAAGATGTAATAAAAGGACAAAGACACCATGTTAAAAGGAATAAAGGTAAAAGGGGGAATTTTTTCATTTTTTCTTATTTAATAACCCATATTAATCCCTTGGATTTTTTTATGTTATTGAGTGATGTTATAGTCAACAAACATTTGTTGAACACCTTCTATGTGCCAGGCAGTAAGGAAAACAAAGATCAGTAAGACATGATGTCTTCTTGTAAAGGGGTTGCAAATTCAAGAGGTATATAGCAAGTAGAATCAACAGAATTTAGGTGAGGATTTCTTCGTTCATTTAGCATTACACAAATATTTATTGAGCATCTACTTTATATAAATTAAGCATTGGAAATAAACCACAAACAAAACAAACTTGGTTTCTGCCCCCCTGAAATTTACAGTCTTGTGGGTGAAACTAGACAGTAAAGAGGTAAATATATAAATAAATGATTGCCAATTGTGATCATTGTCATCAAGGAGCGAACAGGTTGCTATGATAGAGAAAAATGCAGATAATGTAGTATAAGTAGTTAGATCCACCCTTTCTGAGACAGTGATATTTAAGCTGAGATTTAAAGGACAAGACCAAAGGAAGACCCACCAAGAATGCACAAGAGACATCACATAAAGCCCTGAGGCAGAAAGACCTTGGTATATTCAAGGAAAGGCGAGAGATAGAATGGAGAGTAATCGTATAGTGTATAGATTTTATTATTATGGTGATTGTGTCATTTTCTAAGATAATGCAGAAGAAGAAACAAGTTGAGGGGAAAGATAATTTTAGTTTGGTATATGCTGAATTTGAGTTACCCATGCATATCCAGGTGATGTTAAATAAGCAATTGGATGTACAAATCAGGAGCTTAGGGAAAAAGTATACATGTATCAGTCCTCATAGAGATGACTCCAGGAATCTAAACAACTAGAAATCATCAACTAAATGCCATTAGGTGAAGCTGGGGAAGTTGGTGATATCACCCAACCAAAAAATGTGTATACTGAAATGAAAGAGAGAATTCTGGTCCATACAGAGCAAGAAGTGACTGAGAAAAAGCAGTTAGAACAGTGAAAGGGTAATCCTTGAGAAATGATGTTGTGGAAGCCAAGAAGATAAAATAATTTTAAACAAAAATGATTCAGTGTCATAAAAGAGCCAATAAAACAAGAATTGGAAAATGTTGAATTTTGCAACCAGGAGAAAACTTATTACCAAAGTGTTGTAGTGGTTAAAGCCCAGACTCTGGAGCTAGACTGCACTTGAAACCTGACTCTGCCCCTTTTATCTGTGTGGCCTTGACTAAGTTACTTAACCTCTTTGTGCCTCCATTTCTTCATCTGTAAAATTAGGTTTTCAATAATATCTACCTCGTAGGATTGTTATGAGGGTTAAATGAATTAGAACACGTGAAGTGCTTAGAACAGTGCCTAGTCATAGCATGTGCTTGATGCATATTACCTATTATATTGCCATTACAATTATTAGTGAAAGTGATTTCATTCAATGTAGAAGAATGGGAAGAAAGCTGGATTGCAGTCAGTTAAGGAATGAACTGGAGGTGAAGAAAAGGTGGCAATAACTATAAACTTCTCTTAAGAAGCCTGGCTATTAAGGAAGAAATAGATGGGGATTGGTAACTAGAGGTAAACTCAAAGCCAAGAACAGAATTTCTCTTAGAAAAGAGACTTGAAACGAAAGAGAAAGAACTAGCAAAGAAGGAAATATTGAATATACAAGAGAGAGGAGATAGATGATGGAACGAGACTCTGAAAGAGGTGGAAGGGATTGAATACAATCAAAAGTATGGTGACTTCTAGTTCCAAGATGGTGGCGTAGGAGCAAGCTGGCTTCACTTACCCCCATGACAGAAAACCAAAAACAAATAGCACCAAGATTATCACCAGCAATATCCCAGAACTCACATAAAAGGATGAGACAGTTCCCAGGGCCCAGAGAAAATCAGAAGCAGAAGTGGAGAAGTCAACTTTGGATGCTACTTTGTTCTGAAGGAGACAAGCTGGGAGGATGATTGCAGATGTATATTCAATGTTATAAAAGAGCCAATAAAACAAGAATTGGAAAATGTTGAATTTGGCAACCAGGAGAAAATTTATGACCATAGTGTAGAGTGAAGGTAGTTTGTAGTAGAGTGAAGGTAGTTTATGTCTAATAGCTTATGTCTTTTATAATAAGGACATTGGCAAAGGAGAAGGACAAAGGTAGGAAAAATAAAGAGTAACTGACAAAGACAATGGAGAGAGATGGCTGACCAAGGGCAAGATAAGGATTAGTCAGTAGTGTGAGAGCTCTCTTAGGACTGGAGACCATACATTTGTAATGGCTCCAAAATCAATATGCATTCTAGCAATTTTAGGCAGCAAAACATGGGCACAGGGAAGGCAGAGTGTTAGACCGATCCAGAGTTGGGAATTTGTAGGATTAGCGCTTCAGAAGGAAGATTGTAGGAGATTGAGGCTCCTGGTGAGAGAATTTGAAGCCAGCAAGCCTGGAGTCCAAGCTAGGTGAAGAATGGAGAAGCAGTGCACTGACCTCTAAAACGAGTGTAGTGGAAATAAAGGAGAAAGAGAACTTGAAGACTAGGAAGGGAGGCTAGTAGTCAGAAAAGAATATTGGAATTTTCGGTTTTGAAGCTAACAGAATTCCTGAATTACAGCTCTGGCATTTGACCATAGGAGTGGATGGCTGAAGTGAATTCTATCCTAGAAATAAAAGTGAAAACCAACTAAAACCATTCTTTTTCTGCAACGCCAAACTTACTGAGTTATTCTTCAGCATTGCTTTCTCTCATTTATCCCAAATACATCAACCAGCAGTATTTATTTTCACTGCTAAGTTGATTTTCAGCATTCTCAAGTGATGTGAAACAATTGATTAATTAGGATACGATTTATAATCTAACAATGATGTGTTTGCCTTTGAATTATTCATCTATAAGTGTAGCTCATTTATTAGATGAATTCTGTGTTTATTGGATGCAAAAAAGAATAAGACAAAAGCAAAAGAGTATCACCTTAGGGGAAATACATATATATCAAAGATAACTAGCACCAAGTATTTCCTGCTATTTATACTTTTCCAGCAGATTTACTTGTCTAGTTTTTTTTGCCGATGCTTTTACTAAAAGTACTTTGCTTTGTTAGCATTCATGCTACCAAGAGTAAACAGTCAATGATTGTTATTTGTAATTATTGTTGTTATTATTTTACTGTTATCACCCAATAAAAGAGATCACTCTGAAGCATATGGGACAAGAGGAAAATCAGTAAACTTTTAGTATATTTATTATACTCTATTATCTATATTTATATACTATATATATTATACTCTATATACTATATTTAGTATATTTATTATACTCTTTATTATCATCTACACATTAATAATTAAAAGTTGGCTTGTATGAGTTAGTTATGTGTAATGGTTAATGTTTTCAGTAATGTTTCCTTTTGCAGTACAGATGAGAGCCATTTTATCTGTGTTACCTGGGATTAATGTGCCTTGATGTTTTCAGGGATCTTATCCATAGAACAGCTCATCAGCCGGGTTGGTGTGATTGGAGTGACTCTCATGGCCCTCCTTTCTGGATTTGGTGCTGTCAACTGCCCATACACTTACATGTCTTACTTCCTCAGGTAACAGAGCGCTTTGCATCCTTTCTTTTTTGCCCCATTACTTCTTGAATACATATGTCATATTATGCCACCATCTTTAAGATTATATATTAGATCTATGACAATGCCTTTTTATTTTTCTCTTTCTCTGTCCCTATGGGCATTGACCTGGAAATCTTTCTAAATAAGTCTTATCAGTTGTACTGCTTGCCTTTGCTATTTGTCCTACATTCATTTATATTTTAAATGGCAAATTTCAATCTGACACTCCCCTCCCACTTTTTAAAGGCACATTTCTAGTGACCAGCAGTATAAACCAACCCCAACTTCAGCAGTTTAGTTCCTCCTAGAAGTATTAATAGAACAGTAGAAGACAATGCCAAGTTAAAAGTGAGCTTAAACATACATCCTAAATGTCACTGAGCTGAGATCACGCCACTGCACTCCAGCCTTGGTGACAGAGCAAGACTCTTTCATAAATAAATGACGAGTTGATGGGTGCAGCAAACCACCATGGCACGTGTATACCTATGTAACAAACCTGCACGTTTTACACATGTATCCCAGAACTTAAAGCATAATAAAAAATAAAATAAAAATATTTAAATATATATATATAAAAATGTCACTGGATCAAAGCTAAGAAAAACTGTAAGAGAGCTGGGTAAATTCCATTTCCCTGAGATGCCAGAGGATTAGCTGTAAGAAATGAGAGCAAAAGCATTTTAGTTTATTATGGTTATTTTACTATTTTCTAGAAAAAAGTAGTGGGCAAAGTTAAAGTCTGTGTATCTCTCCAGATACAGTATCATGCCCAAGAGTGGGATCCCAAAACATTTCGCTAGCAGTTTGTGCTTTTTGTAGGAACGTGACTGACACAGATATTCTAGCCCTGGAACGGCGACTGCTCCAAACCATGGATATGATCATAAGCAAAAAGAAAAGGTAAGATATCAACACTGTAAAACATCTGGACTCTGTTACAATTTCTCAAAAAGAAAATTTGACTATGAATTGGTGCTGGCAGGGAATTTTATCTTATTCATTTTTATTATAAGGTAAAGTACTATCAAAGATTTAGTGTTGGCCGAACACAGTGGCTCACACCTGTGATCCCAGCACTTTGGGAGGCCAAGACGGAGGATCACTTGAGCCCAGAAGTTCAAGATTAGCCTGGGTAACATAGTGAGACACCATCCCTTTAAAATAACAATAATAATAAAATTAAAAATATAAAAAAGTTTTTTAAAAAGATTTAGTGTTTTGTGTGAAAGAAAATTCTCAAATTCAATCTCATTTCTTGAATTTAGATCATTCTTCTTAGATAAATTAGAATTTTTTTAATTTTTTAAATTGTAAATTGACAAATTATAGTTGTGTATATTTGTGGCATACAAAGTGGAATAATTAAATCAAGCTAATTAACATATTCGTTCACATGCTTATTTTTTTGTGGTGAAAACATTTGAAATTTACTCTTATTGATTTTGAAATGTACAATACTTTATTATTTATTATATTCATCATGCTGTACAGTATGTCGCAAAGAAAAAAACCCTTATTCCTCCTGTCTAACTGAAGCTTTGTACCCTTTGGCCATCGTCTCTCCATTCCTCCCACCCATCCAGCCTCTGGTAACCATCATTCTACCTTCTGCTTCTGTTGAGTTCATTGTTTTAGATTCCACATATAAGTGAGAACATGCAGTATTTGTCTTTCTGTGTCCAACTCATTTTGCTTAGCATGGTGTTCTCCACTAACAAATGAAAGAATTTCCTTCCTTAAGACTGAATACTATTCTGTTGTCTATATATGCCATATTTTCTTTATCCATTTTTCTGTTGATGGACATATAGATTGATACCATAACTTGGCTATTGTAAATAATACTGCAGTGAACATGGGTGTACATATATCTCTTTGATATTTTACTAATTTCATATCTTTTGGGTAAATACTCAGAAGTGGGATTGCTGGATCATATAGCAATTCCATTTTCAATTTTTGTAGGAACCTCCACAATGTTTTCCATAGTGGTTGTGCTAATTTACATTTCCACTAACAATGTAATAAGGGTTCCCTTTTCTCAGTGTCCACACCAGCATTCTTTATCTTTTGCCCCTTTGATAATAGTCATTCTGACAGGTACGAGGTGATATCTCATTGTGTCTTAGTTTGCAGTTCCTTAATGGCTAGTATGTTAAACATTATTTGTTATATCTATTGGTCATGTGTATGCCTTCTTTTGAGAAATGTCTATTCAGGTTCCTTGCCCATTTAAAAATCAGGTTATTTGTTTTCTTTCTATAGAGTTGTTTGAGGTCCTTATGTATTTTGTATACCAACCCCTTATCAGACATATGGCTTGCAGATATTTTCTTCCAGTCCGTAGGTTGTGTCTTCACTCTGCTAATTGTTTTCTTTGTTGTGCAGAAGCTTTTTATTTTGATGTAATCCCGTTTGTCTATTTTTGCTTTAATTGCCTGCACTTTGGGGATTAAATCTAAAAAGTTATTGTTCAGAGCAATTTGTGTAGTTTTTCCCCTATTTTCTTCTAGTAGTTTTACAGTTTCCCGGCTTAAGTGTTTAGTCTATTTTGAGTTAATTTTTATATATTGAGTGAGATAAGGGTCCAATTTCATTCTTCTGCAGATGGATATTCAGTTTTCCCAACACCGTTTAGTGAAAAGACTATCCTTTTCCCAGTGTGTACATGTGGCACCCTTGTCAAAAATCAATTGACCATACATGTGTGGGTTTATTTCTGGGTTCTCTATTCTGTTCCCTTGGTCAATGAGTCTGTGCTTATGCTCATATCATGCTGTTTTAATTACTATTGCTTTGTAGTGTAATTTGAAATAAGGTAGTATGATGCCTCCAGCTTTGTTCTTTTGTTCATGATTGCCTTGGCAATTCGGTTTTTTCTGGTTCCATATGCATTTTAGGATTATTTTTTCTATTTCTATGAAAAGTGACATTGGAATTTTGATAGAGAGGGATTACATTAAATCTACAGATTGCTTTAGGTACTATGGACGTTTTAACAATACTGATGTTCAACGAACATTCCAAAAATGAACCATCCCACTTAAAATAGCTACAAGAAAAAATACTTAGGAATAAATTTAACCAAGGAGGAAGAAAGACCTGGACACTGAAAACTATACAACATTAATAGAAGAAATTGTAGAAGACACAAATAATGGAAAGATAGTCCATGCTCATGGACTGGTATGTAACTTTTGTATTCGAAGAATGGAATATTGTCTATTGTCCTGAATTTTTTTTTTTTTTTTAAGACAGAGTCTCTCTCTGTTGCCCAGGCTGGAGTGCAGTGATGTGATTTCAGCTCACTGCAGCCTCCACCTCCCAGGTTCAAGCAGTTCTCCTGCCTCAGCCTCCCGAGTAGCTGGGATTATAGGCGTGCCACCATACCCAGCTAATTTTTGCATTTTTAGTAGAGATGGGGTTTCACCATGTTGGACCAGACTGATCTCAAACTCTTGACCTCAAGTGATCCACCCGCCTTATCCTCCCAAAATGCTGGGATTACAGGCGTGAGCCACCACGCCCAGCCTTATTGCCCTGAATTTTTTCTACTTGGGAGGCTGAGGCAGGAGAATTGCTTGAAACTGGGAGGCAGAGGTTGCAGTGAGCCAAGATTTCACCACTGCACTGCAGCCTGGGGGACAGAATGAGACTCTGTCTAAAAAAAAAAGTGAAGTTGTGACCCATGTCAAGTGTGGATGTATACTTTTAAGCCATTTCATACTAATACTGCTAAGGAATTGACTCTGATCTGTACATACTATAGCCCATTTCCCCTATAATGCATTGTCTGGTCAGGATCAGGAATGGTTTGTGGTCCGACAGTAGGTTTTATTAATTTGAGTGGCTCACAGAAGAATCAGCCTCCCAACATGACCCCATTAGCACAGTCCTTTAGCCAGTGGAACTTACAGGGCAGATAGACAGCTAACGTGACAACACTGGGGCCCTTAGGATTCATACAGTGCCCTTGCCATTTACCACAATATAGAAAAACTATTTTTGTTGTTTGCAAGTGGTTTTACAAAATAAAATTTTTTTTATTAAAAAAGAAAAACTGTTTTTGCAAACAGTCATAGTTGGGGAGCAGTAGTGACCAGAAAACCATCTTTTACCTTAACGGTAGAGGGCCATAGTGAGATGACATACAAGAAAAGTAACATTTGTTATGTACAAAAAAGTTAATGGTTTAAAGTGGGAGAAGGAAAGAGGCATATGTCTTCCCGTTTGGAACAGTGGAGGAAAAAATGTTAACCTCTACCTTGAATTAGTTTTTCTAGGATCTCTTTGAAATTTTGTAGGGATTGGGGAAGAAACATATTCACTAGTGAAATTTCAGCACCAGCCACACCCACTCTCAAATGATAATAGAGGAAACTTCCGGAAATGACAGTGGAAAGAATTTAAGCCATTCCTTCTACAGAAAATCATAAAAACTGGAAAAGTTAAAAGCAAGTATTTGAAGTCACTGGAAAATGAACAGAGGCAGGTAGAAATTTGAGAAGAGCATCAGGTAACTATTGCAAGTTTATGGCTTTCTTGCCTGGAAGTGCTCCTCAGCCACCACCCACCCTCCCAGCACCCACTCAAGTGTGCAGATTGATAAGAGTTTAAATCAGCTGAGTAACTGAAAATTTAAAGGGGAAATTTTGGAAATGAGGGAAATGCAGAAGGACTAAGATCCAAAATCTCAGTATAAACCCTTCCCAAATCCCTGTGTCATCATTAAATAATGTATTTCCACGGTAAACACCGAAGAGCCTGAGGGAAAATAGGCAGAAACTGGAAGAGAGTCTACCCTTGATATACTGAACTTCTTAGTGTGATTTGCAAGGTTACTGTGCCTTTGATTGAGTGCATTTTCTGAGCTATGTGCAGGTTGAACACACAGCTTGGATAACAGAAAGTGAAAGCCTTACTGGCTTGAGGTGTCAGAGGGTAGAACTCAGGACTGGCAAAGCAATTGAAAATTTAGGAGAGATCCCTAGAAGCAAAAGATCCACAGAGAGGATAAGCCCTAAAATACGACTATAGAATCTGTCCAGACTACCACTACCCTACACAACAAGCTCAAGCTCAGTGGAGACTGTCAGGGAGATAGGCTGAAAAAGGAGAAGCTAGAAACCAGGAAACTGAGCAGAAACATTAGCTGCTGCAGGTATGACAGATTTCACAGTTTGAGTCTAAGTAAATTAACTGCTTACTAGTACCAAAAAATTAACAGTTCTCAGAAAAACAAAACAGATTCCAAAGTCACTACAACATATTACCTTCAACTAAAACTTGCTAGACATGTAAAGAAATAAGACTATATAACCAATGTTCAAGATAAAAAGCTGCCAATAGACACTAACTCCAAGTGGATCCAGATTATAGATTTAACAAAGACTTGAAAGTAACCATTACAAATATATTCAAAAAAGTGAAGGAAAGCGTGATACAAGTGAAAAGAGAGAATCCCAACAGAGAAATGGAAACTTTTAAAAAACAACAAAATAGAAATCCAAAGACTGAGAACTATAGTAACTGAAATAAAAATTTTACTAGGCGGGCTTAACAGGAGAATTGAGATGACAGAAGAATCAGATCAATAAAAATTCAGACTGGGCATGGTGGCTCATACCTGTAATCCCAGCACTTTGGGAGGCCGAGGTGGGTGGATCACCTGAGATTAGGAGTTCGAGACCAGCCTGGCCAACATAGTGAAATGCTGTCTCTACCAAAACTACAAAAATTAGCTGGGCATGGTGGCACGTGCCTGTAGTCACAGCTACTTGGGAAACTGAGGCAGGAGAATCTCTTGAACCCAGGAGGCAGAGGTTGTAGTAAGCCAAGATCAAGCCACTGCACTCCAGCTTGGGCGACAGAACAAGACTCTGTCTCAAAACATAAAATAA